TCATCTGTGCAGGTGATGCAGAGTTGAGTTCCATCTCCACCACTCAAGAACTGTGTGACCTTGGGTGAATCACTCCACCTCTCTGGGCCTGTCTCTTCTATTGAGTGGAGGGCATATTCTCCCCGTACCAACCGTTGAGGCCTTGGAGAGGATTAATAAGAGAGTGGATGGCAGTGCAGAGGGAACTGAGGGGGGCCTTCACTTTGCAGGAGGCATATTAATAGTCGCCGTGTTCGTGGGCCCTTCGAACCAGGGAGGGGTGGGGAAGAGGGGAGCAGCATACCTCACCCGGGCCTTCCCCGCTGACCCTTCTCTGGGAGCACATACCCAAGCTCAGTGACAGTGACATAAAGATAACTCCCTACAAAAGTCCCTGTCCTCAGGAAGCCCCAGTTCAGCAGGAGAGACACATCAGGGATCCATGCAGGAGGGTGGCCAGGACTGGGGTGCAGTCTGCTCAGGGGATTGTGGGGGCACGAGGGGGAGTGTACCTAACCCCAACCCCCACCCCACCTGCCCCAGATATCAGTCATCAGTGGTTGTTAGTATGAAAACCATGACAGATCTTTGGTTTGCTGTAGAAAAGAAGTCTAGGCTAGTGAACTTGTTCCTGTAAGAGGAATCTGTTGAGTTGAGATTACCTGTGTGTTTACGTTGTGTGTCTGTCTGTCTCCACATCTCTCTTCCAGGTGGGACCCTGGCCTGGGGTTTCACCAAGAACCACTGTGGGGCCCTCAAGCTAGTCCCTTCCTTCCAGGCTAGTCCTCAAGCTAGGACGTGTTTCTTTTTCTGTAAAATGAGGAGAATATTCCTGCAGTGAGAGATGAGGAGGTCTTAGGGCGTGGAGGCGAGAACTGAAGGGATAGATGGGACAGAGGGTTGGCCAAATCAGGGCCTGCCCCCAGCACCCAAAGATCAGGCTGAGAGGAGATGTGGGTGAGGGGCACACTGGAGTGGAGGCTCCCCAGAAGAGCAAGAAAACTACCAGCTGAGGGCGCCTGGGCTGGGAGGGGCACCTGGAGACCTGGGTCCGGTTCTGACTCTGCCACTGACCTGAGCAGTTGCCCTGGCTGCACCCCTCCCCTCTTGGGGCCCCAGCCTCCCCTCTGTGGAGTGAGGGGCCTGGTCTTGATGGTTTCCTCTTTCATCGGGCAAACAAGGCGGAGGGAGGTAGGACGACCTCTGGCTCTGCTCCTCACAAGACGGCTGGCACCGCGCTCTATCACTGCCCATCTCAGCTCCTGATTAAGCACTGGGGGGGGGAGTGGGGGGGCAGAGGCGCAGCTCTCTCAGTAAATAAAGCCAAGATGATGAGGCCGTAAATTGCTGAGGGCTTGAAGCATCGATTGGTGAGGGTGGGAGGGACTACAGAACCAGGGGTGACACCTGGGAAATGGAGCCCATTCCTTCTGCAAACTGCCAGCCTAGCCCTCCTTTTAATAATACCAGTTATATCCATCAATCTTTATTGAGCTCTTACTCTGCTCCCAGAACTTTCACCATAATCTCATTGCCTCCTTGCACCAAACTGATGAAGGAGGGACAGTTATCATCCCAACTTTGCAGTTGGGGAAAGTGCGGGAAACTCAGTAGCCCTCCCAGGACCCTAGGGCAAAGCTGAGGGAGAGCATTCATTGGTCCAGCACAGGTCTGGGGTCTGCGGCCCGTGCCTGCTCCTGCAGCCACCTTGGCCTTGTGACTCACAAGTCAACAGCCTGGTGAGCTTGACTCACCACGTTCCCAGTCCTCTGGGTGGGAGGGCTGCCTCTGTTTGCTGGTAAAACACCAAACAGAACTCTGGGGCTGCAGGTCCCCTCCTTTGGGAGTCTAGGCGGAGAGGTCTATACACCATAAGTCTGAACTCCAAAGAACGATAAGTCATCAGTTAAGCTGTAGCTAACAAACTATTAAATACGTCCTATTCTTCCTTCACAAATATGCCTTATTAACCACATCTGAGAATCCCCAGATTCCACACTGGACCCTGGCAACATGGGGAGAGCAGCTACCAGGCCCTGCCCCTAGTCCCCCATATCCTAGGAGATGTCCCCTTTACCTCTAACCAAGCTGTTTCAGTCCCATACCCTAAGGGCCCAATGACCATGTGAGACCTTTCACGTTGCCCTCAGGAGAACAGGCCCTGGGGTAGGAGGGAATTCCAGGGTCCCAGGTACTGGGGGCTGTGGTCTGGAAGGGTGCTTAGGCTCTGGCTGGGTGCAGCTCCTTGGCCCTACCAACTCTCAGCCCATGGGGAAGTTGGCAGCCCTGGAATGGCCAGAGCAGGACCCTCTAACACACAGGGCCCAAAGCAGGGGCCCTGCTTGTCCAAGGCTAAGGGCCGAACAGCCCCTCCCCCAGCGCGGTGACTCTATTAGGCTGTGCTCCTGAGTTCCGATTAAATGCCTTTCAGTACAATCCAATTTCCTCCTGACATGGACTAGAAAAACCCAGTCTGTGCACGTGCGCGTGCACGCACACACACACACACACAATACATTTGGTGTTAAATATCCAATCAGGCCCAAAGATAATAGAGAAGGGCCAGTTCACTCCCAGTTTAATCAGATAAAATGCCCATTCATTGGGGCTGGAGCAGAGGGGGACCTTGGGGAGGAGAAACGGACTGAGTAGGTGGGCTGTGCCTTTAAATCGTCAAGGAGGGGGGACAGCATTGCCCACAGGGGACTAATTATCCTTCAGCCTTTAGCCAGCTCTTACTCAAACAGACAAAAGGGGGGCTCAGCAGCCCCAATGTGCTAAGCTTCTGCAGCAGCTTTTCACTCTCAGATATGCAAATCTACCTCAGCAGGGTGGACCCTAGGGATGGCTGAATAGTGGTCTGGGGAGTTGGAAGGGCCAGCAAGGGCAAGGACAAGGGCCTGGCGGCTGGACCCTCTCAGAGGACGGTTTGGGGAGACTAGAGGCATCTCACTGTCCCTCCTCTGGCTGCGCGGGGAACCCTGCCTCACAGTGGGGGAGAGCCTTATGGAGGCCAAGAAGAAGGTCTCTCCCTGTCCTTTATGGCGGGGGGGGGGGGGGGGGGGTTCCCTCTGCAAGCTGGCTCAGAGACCAGGAGCTGACAGCCCCGACGGGGCCCTCCTTCGCACTTGCCCTCTCCGGTCTAGGACATAGGCAGCAGGTAACTTATCCAAGGCACAAATCTAGGTGTGGCCCCTACCCTAAACCTGTCCTTGGCTCCCTCACCTGCAGCATGAGTCCCTCAGCCTGGTGGCCTCCGTGACCTCTGAAGCCTATGCCCCAACCCAGAATATTCTACCCACGCCTAACCCTAATGGTATCCACTCACAGTTTCAAGCCTTGACTCCTCCCCTCTGCCTGCCTTATGTCCCCTCCCACACCCCCACTCCAGGTTCCTGGCACACAGTAGGTGCTCAGTAAATGTGTCCAAGAAATGCATAAAGTGCCCCTTCCTAGGCAGCCACATAACCCAGGGAGATGACAGGTCTGGATCAGAGACAGGAAGTTTGCTTTCTGCTCAGCTGCCAGCCAGCACCTACAAGAAGCTCAGTCTTTCCACCTATGAAATGGGCTGATGTAGGCTGGCTGCAAAAATCCTGAGGTGCCTGGAGGGGGCTCTATGAGTTGTGAAGGGCCTCTGGTGTCTTATCGTTCACATCAAGGTGAAGAGGACAGTGTAGGGGAGAGGGAAGTCAGAGGCCAGATTCCATCTCTCTTAGCCCCTCCAAGACCTTCCTCTCGGACAGTATCCCTTGGGGAATCCATTCCCACTCTGTATGGGTCTCTGCCCTATCTCTCCAAGTCCTCTGCCCAGCTGAGAATTTCACTGGCATCTCAGCAGGAGGGGCCTGGGCCTTGGGCCTTAAAAGTGGGAGGGGAGCTTAAAAACCCCGGGAAGCGAGTCCTGAGGCAGGAGTGAAGATGGGCTTTAGTGCAGAGGGTCTGGCTAATTAGGATTTGGATTCTGAGACCGAAGCCTGGGCCTAGGGTGGGCAGGGGCACAGGGACCCCAGGAGACTGAGTTGGGGGGGACCCCAGGTGATGGGAGAGCCCCCTTCCCTCACTGCTGCCTGTGTTGTGAATGTCTGGGCCCAGGAGAATTCAAGGGAGAGGGTGAGTCATGAGGAGGAAAGTAGCCAGGAGAGGCCGTGTGACAAGCCAGGTGAGAAGGGTCTCTAAGGGGACCAACCGCCATGAGGCTCTAGTCTCCAAAGGCAAAGGGTAACACATGGGGTTCCAGAAGCATTGCCCAAGAGTCTGAAAGCAGAAACACTTTGTGAAGCCTGGCAGATATGGAGTATAGTTTGTAGCAACTCGGGGCTGGGGAGAATGGTCTCGCCTAGGCTGAAGGCAGGAGGGACAAATAAGCCAGAAAATGTCCAGCCAGTGAGGATGGGGGGTGAGGAGAGGATATAGTGGCGCCTAAGGAAGAATCTAGATGGGGCTAGAGAAGCAGGCACAAAGTAGGTGTGCCCCCAGGGACGGGGACCTACACATGTCCAAACTGCAAGTCCCTTACAGGATTGCCCAACCACACCAGCCTCCCCTCCAGAAAGCCCCTGGGAGTCCGCTCCTTCCAGCTCACCAGGCCTGCACTTTTGGAAAAGAAGACCCTCCCTTTCCATTGACTGTCCCAGTGCTGGCTTTCCAGGGGCTAAGGTGAGCGCTGAGAAAGAGGGAGCTCCAGCCCCCCAAGTCCCTCTTCCGTCCACTGTCCCTCCCTCAGCTCAAGCTTGTCTCAGCCTCCTTGGATCCCTCCAGATACTCAAATGTCCTGCCTGGGGCTCCTTCCCCCACACCAGAGACCTGGCAGGTGGCCCCCTGGACCTCTCCCCCTACCCCGCAGCCCAGCTCTGGGAATGGGAAGTAGGGGACACACACACCTTCACAGAAATGATGAAAAGGGTAGGGGTTGAAAATAGCTTAGAATTCACACCTGGAGAACACAAGAATCTAAAGAGATGGCGCTCTGGACTAGAATCCCAATCCCCTCCAGCCAAAGACAGCCACGAACACACCTATAATCAAACTGAGTTGGGTTTATTGATTCGTTGGGGCCAAGGGGTGGGGTGGGGGGGAGGCATCAGGAAGGGTGTGTTGGAAAGGACAGAAAGGATTCGGCTCAAGTTAGGTGATTCGGGGGAGGTTTCAAGGACACAGGGTTCGGCTCTGGTAGGATGTGCTTAGGAGGTGAGCTAATTCTCACCCAGAAGGCAGGAGGGACAAAACAGGGCTAAAATTGTCCTTGGTGAAGAAGCAACAGGTACTCAATTTGGCCAGGAAAGGCTGCCGTCTGGTCATTTTTGTGCTTTGAACAATGTTTCTGTTTTATCTGTGTTCAGACGTGACTACAGAGTGGCCTTGTTTTTGTCTTGCTCCATTCTGGTCAGAAAGTGGCTTTATATGAGGGGCACCTGGGTGGCTCAGTCCATGGAGCTTCCACCTCTTAATCTCAGCTCAGGTCTTGATCTCAGGGTCGTGAGTTCAGGCCCCACAGTTGGGCTCCGTGCTGGGTGTGGAACCTACTTAAATAAAAACAACAAAAGAAGAAGAAAGTGGCTTTATATGATGCTGTGAAGTGATATCCAGGCCGGCTTCTGGCCCCCGGGCTGCTTTGCTCTTCCGGGAGCTTCAGGCAGGGTGAGCAGGGAGAGAGGGAAGGGGCGTGTGTTACACACACACCGGAGCCAGGCATGGTGCTCGACCCTGGACAGACTTGGCCTGCTTAAGCTTCGCCGCAGCCCTCTCCCCATTGTACAGACGATGAAACTGAGGCCCAGAGGGGCAAAGCGCTCTCCAGAGTCAACACTAACTGGGAAAACCGGAGTGTAGCCCCTGCGCTCCCTGGCTCCAAAGTCTTCACCCCTGTGTCCTTGGCCTGGAGGCTGAGCTCCTTCGGCTCCGCAGGGCACAGGACTCTAAACCGTGCCCCCCCCCCCCCCGCCACGCATCCCAGTGGGGCATCTCTTGCTGCAGGGGTTCAGCCCGGCTGTCACGGGCCAGCCACCGTGTCAGCAGCCGCCCGGCTGGTCCCCTGTGCCTAGAGGTGTGAGGGGTAATGAGGCCCCGTAATTAAGGGTCCTGGAGCCGTGGTCGGGAGATTTATAGACAGGCTTTGTCAATAACCGTGCTCCGGCTGCAGATCCAGGGAGACATCGATAAGTGCTCGTTACAGCTTCTCACCACTCCCTGCCCTACCCCCCCAAACCTCTCCCAGGCCTGTCAGGCCGCCTGTTCACAGCGCCTCTGTACACAGGCTTCGCTCAATTAATTTGCACTTGTTGGCACCATCTGTTCTTTTCATGTGTCCTTATCAGGCGTGTATGGGTCCTGCCTCCTTCTCAGCTATGCTCCAGAGCAGGGACATGGCAGCCCCCCTCAGACTGGGGCTCCTCAGGGTGGGGCACTGTCTCTTCCCTCAGTCTAGGCCTCCTGAAGGTGCGGCCAAGACTTTGTCTTCCTTCACCTCCCTTCCACACCCCTTCCTCCTCACCCTGGGGAGCTATGCTCGGTTGAGGCCCTGGCAGAATCCCTCTGAGCCTGACCCCCACCGGGCAAGGCCTTGTCCTCCAGAGAAAGCCCCCAGACCCCAGTCAAGCCATCCCCTGGCACTCTGGCTGCCCCTGGGGGCTGAGAGGCAGGGCTCTGGTTCTGGTCCCTGCTGTGGCTCCCACAGCCTGAGGTCGGGAAGGTGCCTGTTCCAAGAACAGTGACATCACTGAGTCACAGGGCTGGAGGGGGCTGAGAAGCCCCTGCTAAGTGTCTGTTTCTCTTGAGTAGCAAGGGCCAAGGGGAAGGGTCCAGAGGTCTAGACTTGGGCAGCCCCCAGAGCGGGGTGGGCATGGCCTGGTGGCCCCAGGATGCCAGGCAGATGGCCCACCCAGACAACTGAGAAAAGGCAGCATCCTAACGATGCCTGCCCTTGGCTGTCTCCCCATCCCAACGCTCTTGGAGGCCGGCATCCCAACCCTACTCCTCTCAGGGCTACTCTAGCTTCCAGAAGGGTCACAGCATCTTCCAGCTCTGCTGATCTGTGCCTCCAGCCCTCGGCACAGATTCTCGAGATGGCCTGGCTTTCCTGACCCGGGGGGATGACTGCTGAGCTGGCTCTGCCATGACAGAGCTGGGGGTAGGGGGTGGCCTGGGCAACCTCTCACCCTCTCTGGGCTCTGGGGACCTGTGAAGCACGCTGGGCATGTTCACAAGGAAACCAGGCCTTCTCCTGGAAGTTATCTTTGGAAATTCATAGTATCTAGCTCCAGCGCAGCCCACCTCACCTGACTATAACAGGCTCCACATTTGGGCCTTGGCCTGGCATTCAATGCCCCATGACTAGGCCCTGAAGCCTTCATCTTCCACCACCCCTCCTCACCACATGTCCTCACGGTCTGTCTACACTTCCCCCGGGTGCCAGGCTGCTTCTAACCGTCACACCTTTGCCCGTGCCAGGAACGCACCCCTTCTTCACTCCTTTATCACCTGGCAAACTCTTACTCGTCCTTCAAAACCCATTCCCAAACTCATTCTGGGATGGCCTCCTTCACCCCTCTGCCGACACCCCAGGGTGCGAAGGGACCCCGCCGAGGGGCTCCCTTATCATACTGATGGACCACATCACCCTGTGCCTGTTACCACATCCACTACAACACTAGCCTCTCCAAGCCTTGGTCACATTTGTGCCCCCGGTGCCCAAATGGGGCTACTAAAGAGTGTGTGTTGAACCGGAGGGCCCCCAGCACCCTTGGCCTGGGCTGGGGGAAGGACAGTAGTCTCGGTCCCCCATAAATGGAAGGTGCCCCCCGCCGATAGGGTCATGGAGGTCTCGGGTGGGCGGTAGACGCATTAGGACCACATGCAGCACACTACCGGGGAAGCACACGAGGAGGGGGCTTTACCCACCTCCCTGCTCACCCGCCCCCAATCGGCCCCTGCCCTGGGCCCATCCCAGGAACCCGTGAGTCCTCAGCCACAGATGGCTCCACGGGGGCTGGGATTTGGCAGGGGGTGGGAGGGGAGGGGGGTGGGCTCAGGCCCACTCTTGGCATCTCTGCTAGGAGAGGGTCTTAGAAATGAGTACTCATGCTCACTTGGCACATGCTGGGCCTCCAGCTACTAGTGTCTCAGGGCCCACAGCCCACGTGCAGGGACCCAGAACCCCGGGTGCCCAAAAGCCCCGTCCTCGGCTGGAGCAGAGGCTCACAGCTAGGCAGGGGGCAGAAATCCCACAGCATGCCAGAAGCAATGCTATGGACCATCTCAGTCCATCTCTGCTCCCCTCCTGGGTGCCAGAGGTCTCTTGCCCTGAGGAGCTGTGTTCAGGACAGCCTCAAAATGTAGGAGCCAGGCCCGGACCCTGTGTGTGTGTGGCGGGGGGAGCCCAATGGCCAGTGGGGACCGATGGCTGTGTGCCCTGCCCTGAGTTCCACTGAGCTGGGAGGCCCAGCCTTAGTGAGTCGGCAGAGAGCATGAGCCCTGCCCTCACAGGCTGGAAGGCCAGTTGGGGACAGGAGGGCCCGCCCCGGGCTCTGAGCAGGGACTGAAGACTGGACTCAGGAACCAGCTCTCCCACTGAGGCAAGTGCTCTGACCCCTTCCTGCCTCACTCCCCGCCTCTGTAGAATGGGTACAGTGGCAGCTGCCTGGTTGCGTTACGGGAGGCATGAAGTTAGATGGACGTGTATAACGTATTTAGAATAGCGCCAGCCCTTGTGTCACTACCTGACTGAGGCAGGCTCTAGAAAATCAGAAAAGGAAGCCGCCATCCCTTCTAGCCAAGGAGGGTGAGAAAAGCTTTTGTTTGAGGCAGCTCTGAAGAATGGATCTGCAGAGTCAGGGTGAGGGCGCCTCAGTTCGGTCGTTGGAGGAACTGCAAACCTCTGCTCTTTACCCCCACCCTGAGCTGTGGGGCTGGAGGAGGGTGGGACTGGGATCACGGTGGACCTTGACCGCCAAGCTGGGTGAATAAAGCCCCCCTCCAATGCCACCAGGAGGCTCTGTGCTCCCCTCTTCCTGCTCCCCATCCAACCTGCTGCCTGCCCTGCTTCCTGGACGCCACGGAAGGTGGCCCCCACCCCACAAAGAACCCTAATCTTGACATAGTGGCTGTGTCTCACTACACTTTCAGGGGTGGGGGGCTCCTTAGCACCCATTTTATAGATGAAGTGTCTTGAGATCAGGCAGGTCCCCCTGGGACTTCAAGGGGCCGGCTCAACCCTTCGGGAATGGCGTCCTCTCCCTGTCAGCATCCCACACTTGCTCTGTGTCCAGTGATAGACCCCCTGAGGGGTCTTGGTGCCCCTCCTGCCCCCCACCAGAGCAGGGCTGGAAGACGCCCATGTCTGGGGCCTGCCTGAGCGCGGCCGATGCCTCCACGTGGTACATTATTGATGGCGCTTCTAATTGTGCGTTTCCCAAAGTCTACAGGCCTTTGATGAAAAATTCATGGCACGCCTGAGGATGGGAGCAGATTCAATCGATTGGCAGCTTAGCGGGTGCAGGAGCGCTGGGCCCCTCTCAGTGAGGTGGTGGCTGCAGGCAGGTGGGGAGGGGGCATGGGGCAGCGTTGCCTTGATCGCAGGCTTCTGGCCCCAGGTCTTGGGACGGGAGGGGCATGTACAGCAGAATACAGCCGCCTGTTTCCCCGGGGCAGGATCAGGAAGGTGTAGGCGCACATCGGGGATGTCATCTGGGTGGCTGGTGCCTTCCACAGAGGATGGCCAATCTCCATCATGAGCCTCATTTTCATTTTAGAGGAGGATTCGACCCTCCAGAGCCCCCAGGAGTCACACAGAGGCGGGAGTGACATTCCCAGAGCTATTCATGCGCCAGGTACTCTGCTTGGAGCTTTGCACCCACAAGCTCGTTAAATTTCCCACAGCTCTGGGAGATGGGGAAGGTCAGGCTCTTGGTCTTACAGACCACGAAACTGGCTCAGAGAGGTTCGGGACCACCCTGGCCAACACCACACAGATAATGAGTAGCCGAGCGGGGACTGGAACCGAGCCCTGAGCAAACTCGGGGCCCACTGTCTTTCCCTGCTCCCAGCCAGCTCTGATCTGAGCCACAGAGCAGCGCCGGGCTTGTCCCGTCCAACTCCCCTGCCCTGTCCCTATTACATAGAGGAAGAAACCCCGTTAAGAACAAGGATCTGCCCAGGATCTCCAAGTGAATTAAATGAAAAGGGAGGCCTGCACATGAGAAGAGTAAGGGCCCCCCTGCACCACTAACCGAGGCCAGAGGCCCCCATGCATGCAGAGTCCTGAGCTAGGACCCAGCAGCCAGGGCTGGGGGGTTCCTTAGACCAGGGTGGAGCCCTTGAAACGGGTCAAACTGTCTGTCCTGGATTGTCCAATCAGGGATGATTATTGTGCCACCACTGAGGCCCCAGAGACCCCTGGCATTCACTCATCTGTTCATTAAGTAGGTGAACAAGTATTTATGGAGTCCCAGCTCCGCGCAGGCACTTAGGTGGGCGTAGATGGGGTGCTTATCAGGAAAGGCTTTGGGGCCAGGCTTGCCTGAGACAGTCAGGGAAAAGGCCAGACAGACCCCTCCGTGCCCTCAGCGGGGGTCTCTGCAACCCAGGCCAAGGGTGGCTAAAACAGATGTCTGCCTTAGTGACCAAGGCCGTTTCTAGGTGGTGGGCTGCTCTGTTTGGGTTTGTTTTCCCTTTGCTTCCCAGTGAGTTCCTTTTAAAAACATCCACCCATGTCTCCGCTGAACTAAAGGGAAAGGAATTTGTCCAGACCATCAGGAAAGCAGAGATGGGAAGGCCCTGAGGGCCAGGCGTGGGGCCCCAGGCCATGCTGTCCAGCTGCGAGAGGAGCCCAGCCCGGGCTGTGGTGGGGGAAGATTGCTGAGGGGTGGCGCTGGAGGAGAGAGGGGAGACAGACCGGGAGAAGAAGAGGGAGACTGAGGTGTAGCCTCAGGGCAGGCTAGAGCAGAGGGTTGCCGAGACTGGGGCTGGGGGAGACAGAAGGCCGGAGCCCTTGGGGCCTTGCCCTTTCCTGGGCTCCCGGCCCCACAGCCCTCCCAGGCCCTGCCATCTCCTTGCAGTTCCCTGGCCAAGGAATGAGCTTAGCCTGACGCCAGCTACCCCACCCAGAGGCTCCCCACCCTGGAACAAAGGGAAAGTGGCCCCTCGAGTCGGCCTGCTCCAGTTCAGGGCTGGGCTCAGTCACCAGGCAGGCGCTTGTTGTAGCAACAGTCCCTAGGGACCTATCCCAGGGAACAGGACGGCCAGCAAGAAAGATGGGGGAGCCAGAGTCCCCGTCCCCTCCAGCCCCCAAGGCTGCCCCAGGCCTCCAGGACAGCCGCTCTGTAAGTCTGCCTCCACACCCACTGGTCCCAGGAGGAGGGGCTGGCTCACCTAACAGGCAGTGTGTTGGGGTGTGTTGCCTGGCAACCAGTAGAAGTGATCCCGGAGCAAGCGGCAGGGAGGACCAGAAGATCAGGCCTGCAGGCGGTGGCCCCCACAGGCCCGTGGCCAAGGGAATCTTCCACAGGACCCCAGCCCCAGCCCCGGCCCCTGCCACCTGAGCTCACACCCAGGAACCCAGAAAGGGAAGAGAGGAGGGCCTTAAAGTGACCATTTCTCCTGCTAACCCAGGCCCGGGTCTGGCCTCTTGGAGGTCTAGCCCTACGTCCTAGAAAGTGGCTGGGCCTGGGCTAGCTCGGGGCAGTCAGGCAGAGAAGGCTTGCGGGTTGGGCAATGCTCACGAGGGCTGTGAGGGAGAGGGGGTGAGGTAGATGGGGGCATGGGAGAGGAAGTGGATCAGCGCCTGGCCAGGGGCCCTGCGCCGCGTGGGTCAGTGACTGTGCCCCAGTCGCCAAAGCATTTGCTCCTCCCCTGTGGCAAGAAGCTGGCAGCACACCCCCAGCCGGGACCGACACGCCAGCTTGCAGATGAGGAGGCACCGAGTGGGCAAGGGCCTTGCTTAAGGTTATACACCAGCTGTGGGCAGAGTGTGGATCAGAACCCAGGATTCTAGACTCTAGCCAGGGCTCTCCCCCGTCCCGCCCACAAGGGACATTCAAAGGCAGCAAAGCTCTAACCAGAGAGGATTATGGCAGGAGGTGACCAGTGCGATCAGAGATTCCTTATGGAAGAATAAGCAGAGGCCAGAGCTGGGGTCTAGCTCCTCAACAGCCTCCTGAGTGCCTGGCCCTGCAGTTCCTTGGGCCAGAAGCAAGGTCCAGCCCCAAGCTGAGTCCAGGAGAGGCAGGACTCTGAGCCACAGACCTGAGAAGGAGTGATCGATGGCTGGGCGTGGGGTGGTCCAGAGGGTCTTCCTGGAGGAGGAGGGCTCAGGGTAGGTAGAGCCTTGAAAGTGGGGCAGGATTCTGGGAAGCTTGGGAAGGGAAATAGGAATGGAAAGATGGAGCATCCTCCAGGAAGCTCCTCCCCCAAGCCTGCCCCACCCCCAGCCCCATTGTCTGGACCCAGCCCAATCAGCCCCCCTGGCTCCTGCGGGGGCCAATTAGGCTGGGGCTGGGGTCAGTGCTGGCCAAGGCCTCACCACCCCTCTGAGCTTCACTGTGCTAAGCACAGAAGGCACCGTCTCTGAGGCAGCAGAAAGGAAAATAAGGAACAGAAGGAAGAGACAATGCACTCCTTTTGTTTCTTTGCTGTAACCTTGAGCTGAACAAAGAAGCAACTGCCTCCCCCTCAGGAACCTGTTTTAAACAGCAATTTGCACAGACTCGGCTGACATTCAAGGGGAATGGGGAGCGGGAATCTGGGGTGAGCAGGGCCCTGGCTCTAGGACCTTCTGTAGCTCTGGACTGCCCTTGATCCAGAAGCAGAGCCCCCCGGGCTGCCTCAGGAGTGGTGGCAGGTGAAGTGATCATCCAGACTCGCAGCACCCACGGGCGCCCACCCCCGAGGCACCCTGCCTCTGCCAAGGCCCGCCCTGGGCGGCCTGGAGGCCAGCCCCTCCCACTTGGCCATGCCCTTGCTGCCTGACCTCGGGTGGGCCAGCCCCGGCCTCATGTGCCCTCCAGCCGGAGGGGCTCTCAGGCCTCCCTGACCCTCCCTCCTTCGGGTGGTGATGAAGTTCAAGAAAGAATGAGGGGGAGGAAGAGCCTATTCTGGTGGCCACAGGGTTCTGCTGTCACACTTGTGCCACACCCACTCCACTGGGTGGGCAGTGACCAAGGGTAGAGAGGTCATGGATTCACAGGTGTGACCCTGGGTGTACCTGTGAGGGAGGGGCTATTTGGTCAGAATGAGCCCTGAGCCCTGGGAGAGGGCTGTCCCCATCGGCAGATGCTTAGCACAATTCCCGCTCCCCCCTCTTCAGGCCCTGCCTCCTGGAGACAGCGCCCTAGCACTGGGCCCTTGCTCAGAGCTCCGATCTCAGGAACTGGGGAAGGCCAGCGCCAATTTGCACAGGCCGAGTGTATCCATTTTATTTTAACGAAATGAGGCTAATTCCCAAGGTATTGGATAGCTTAGATTGGCCCAGAGTAGCCTCTCAGACATCCTAAGGGGACCTGCGGGAGCTCTGCGATCAGAGCATGGCAAATCTGGCTGGAGCAGTGTCCTTGGCTAACAGTCCTGGGGGGCCTGCCTGGCCCTCCTTTCCCATCTTGGGATGCCACCAGAGTCTGCAGAGAGGATGGGAGGCCCTTCCGTGCTGCCAGGGTGCCCCAGGAGCTGGAGGGAGAGTGTGTTGCTGGTCCCTGGAGGGAAGGGGAGTCCCAGTCTGGGGGGAAGAGGATTGGGGATGGCTTCTTGACAGAGGGAACAAGGCTTCAGAGATAGCGAGGGGCTCAGGAAGGCTGGCCCATGATCAGAGTGGCCATGGCCAATTTCTGAAGGGAGTCTAATTTTGCTGGGAGAGATGGCTTGAAATTCGAACTGGCAGTTTATCACGAGGGCGTGTGGGAGCCACTGAAGGGCTCCAGAGGCCAGAGAGAAGGTGCCATTTATCTACTGCCACATGACAAACCACCCCAAACATTGTGACTTAAAGTGATCATTTTTCTTGTATTATTCTCTCTCTGTTCTTTGTGTCAGGAGCTAAGCCGAGCATAGCAGTGAGGGCCGGTCTCCGTCCATGGTGGCTGGGTCCTCGGCTGACATGGGAGGGCAGGGGGCTGGTGCCCGGACGCTGGGCGGACACGGCTCCTCCCACACCATCAGCTGGGGCTTCCTCACAGCTTGGCCATCCCAGGGGCTTCTTCCCTGGGGGACAGCAAGTGTCCCCGGGGGGACGTGGCAGCTGCAGGGAAGTCCCTGAACCTCCCAGTGCTGCCTTTGCAATTCTCTAAGACCCGTCCAGTTATAAGGCAGGGTCTAGACTCCACCTCTCCCTGAGAGGAGGAACACGGCATTTTAAACCATCTTCCACATCTTGTGGAGAGGAAGTTGTGTTTAGAGGCAGCACAAAGAGAGCCCAAAGAAGCAGAGAACCAGGAGGTCTGCCTGTAGGAAGAGCCTACAGAGATCAGACCAGTTCACTAGGAAGGGGAACGCCACCAGGAGATGCCCCTTCTGGGCAGAGGAAATCCCATGGGTGGGGGCAGAAACACTACATTATTGGCAGAGGAGGGTACTGAGGGAGTAAAACTGGCCCCTCGCAGCCTGGTGTAGGGGTGCAGCGACACCAGGAAATAGGCCTGGCCAGGCCTGGGGCAGGGAGGTGTGGGGTGGGGAGTAGGGGGTTGGGAATCTTCCTCCCTCTGACTCAGAAAAGCAGCCCAGATGGGCCCTAAGAGCACCGTACAAGCCTGAAGGTGATGTGCATACCTACCCTCCCCCAGTAGACACCTGGCCAAGGACAAACACCCCCAGTCCCTGGGGAAGGGAGAAACTCAAGGGCAGAGTGGCATCTTACCTGGTCTCCTGGAAGACCGTAGCTCTGATTCCCCAGCCCAGGCTTGGCTCCCTGGGCCTGTAGGACAGTCCTTCAACAACGTTCAGCGAGACCCAAGTCAGCCTGCAGTTCGGGCCCTATGGGTGGGGCAGCCTCGAACAGATCACCCAGCCCTGCCCCCGTGGGCCTCGGCTTCCTCCTTGGGAAGTAGGAGTGGAAATGCCTCCCCTGCAGGCTCATTGTTTGAATTAGAGGAGAAGTATGGAAAGGGCCTGGCCAGTGGTAGGCGTTCAACAAGGGGGAGCTCCAGTTATTGGGCCCCATGACCCCGGCAGGCCCTGCCTGTGCCTAGTGTCCATAGTGTGGCTTCCCAGGTGGATAGAAGAATCCTGTCTGATTTGCAAAGATTTAGTTGGGGTGTGTGTGTGTTCATGTGTGTGTTTGGTACACTTTCTAAACTACATCCATGTCCAGTGAGGTTTGGGATTTGCTGTGTTACCTTGGACAAGGCACCACACCTCTCTGACCCCCACGGGTGATTTTTGGGAGAGGATGCCCATCAGAACCTCGGAGATGGGAGTTCACAGGCAGGTGTAGGAAGATGGGCAGGACCTTTTGGAGGAAGGACGTATGTGGGGCTGGAGAGCAAGACAGCCCCCTATGCCTCTCCCCCACCCTTCCCCACCCCTGAGCTGTGGGGCCTGCTCAGGCCGGCCTTATTCCGAGACCTGAAGGCAGAGCATCTGTGGGAGGTGGCTGCCCTCTGCCGGCTGCAGAGGCAAATCACAGGACAGAAGCCTGGGCCTGCCCGCGACGGGTCCTTGGCCTGGCAACCCAGAGGGTGGATGGCTGCCCAGGGAAGGGCAAAGGGGGGAAGGGTGAGTGCCAGGCAGCAAATCTGACACCCTGGTTCAGGCTCACCGCCCACCCTCTGCACCCACCCCACCCACTGCCGAGCCCTACCACCCACACTGCCTCTGATCCAGACACCTGTCTACACCTGCCCTGGCCTCAAGCTTCTTCCTTCCCCTCACAGAGTAAAGTCCCTCCCTGCTCTTACCCCTGCTCCAGCCCTGGACTCCCATACACCCCCTCCCTGCCTATCTCCTCATTCTCCTGAAAGTCCTTTCTCTGTCCATCCCCACGCCTCTCCCCCTCCCTCTGTCCCTTCTCAACCTCACTGTCCCCCGCACCGCCTTCTGGCATTCAGAGCACAGGCCAAGGTCACCAGGGGTCACCTCCTCAAGGCCACGCCCAGAGGCTCCCTCTGCAGATCAGAAGCTGTTGAGCCTTCTCACCTTTTCGCTTTTTTTTTTTTTTTTAAGATTTTATTTATTTATTTGACACAGAGAGAGCACAGATAGGCAGAGCAGCAGGCAGAGGGAGAAGCAGGCTCCCCACTGAGCAAGGAGTCCGATGTGGGGCTCGATCCCAGGACCCTGGGATCATGACCTGAGCTGAAGGCAGACGCTTAACCAACTGAGCGGCAGGCGCCCCCTTCTTGCTTTTTTTCAAAAACCTTTAAATGGTGAAATGTAACTCACGTGGGTTGCGTTGAACGTAAAAAAACAAAAACAAAAACAAAAAACAGAAAAAAAAACCCACCACAACCAAATACTTAGAAAGCAAATGCCCTCGCCACCACCACCCAGGGCACGGACTAGAACAGCGCCCGCACCCAGAGGCCCCTCGTCCCCCTCCTCCCCTGACATGACCACATCGGCGGTAGCTTCTCGTCTGGCTTTGATGTTTTATCCTGTCACCCCCTAAGTGTGCCTCCCCGGGCCCTGCGTCCTAACAGCCCAGGGCTGACCTTTCTCTAAAGGGCATCATGTCGTTTTGCGTGTGGTTCCCTTGTTGCACTTTGTGTGTGAGCTGCATCTGTGAGCAGCTCCGCGCTGTGGTTCCTCTTTTTCATGGCTGTGTGGTGTTCCCGTGTCCCTCGGCTCTGTCCTGGCCGGTCTTCAGGTTATCTGCAGGTGGCAGGGGGAGAGGCTGTCTTACCCAATGAACCGTGCCCAAAGACACTCCGCTCTGAAGCTCCGTGGCCTTGGCTTTGCCAGCTGCCCCGCCCCTCTCTCTCCCACCTTTCTGGCACTTGCCCTGAACTTGAGGGCTCCTCTCCCACTATCACCTTCATCCTGGAGCCCCCTTCCTCATGCTACACTTCCTTGACTCTGGAAAATCTCTTTCCTTCCAAGGCCTCCCTTAGACCTCCATGGGCTGCCCTCCCCACCCCGTCTCCAGCCAGGATGCTCCCCAAGCTTGACCACCATCAACTGTCTGTGACCACCCCTCACCCCACATGCCTCACCCCTCCCCAGGCTAACATCTCCTCCTCCTCCCCACTGGGTGCATGCACCTCTTCCCTGTCCCCCAAGACCACAGAGGATGACTCCTCCTCCTCCGCCTCCCCCTCCTCCCCCTCCTCCTCCTCCTCCCCCTCCTCCTCCTCCCCCTCTTCCTCCTCCCTCCTGCAGCTCCTGCCCTCACCTCTATGCCCGCTGCCTCTGCCGGCTCGGTGCCATCCCTTGTTGCCTGGCTCACTGCACCTGCCCTGCATTCCCTCTGTGCTGGGCAGCCAGAGGGGTCTTATCTCTCTCTCTCTCTCTCTCTCTCACACACACACACACACACACACACACACACACACACACACACACCTGCCTCACTGCTTAGGCCCTTCGGTGACCCTACAGGACAAGTCCAAACCCCTGAGACGAGCCTTCAAGATCCTCTTCTGTTTGCCCTGCCCCCTCTCCAGCCATACCCCTATACTCTCCTCCCTGTCCCCTGCTTTCCAGAAATTCCCCTGCTCTGTTCCTCATCACACACTCACCTCCCTGCCTCTGCCCCCAGAGACCCCACCCCCATCCCCAGGTAACACCTACTCATCTTCAAGAGTCAACTCGGATTATCAGCTCCTCCAGGAAGCCTTCCCAGCTCCCCCAGTCTGGGTTAGGAGCCTCCTCTGAGCTCCCCTCTGTCGCGGGCACTTCCTGCCATCTCTGTGTAGATAGGGGACCAGGGCAGGCAGGGAGGGACAGCGGGGGCTCCTCTGTTCCCTGGCCCCAGCATGGAACAGACCTGGGACACAGTGGGGCTCAGCAAAGGTTGGCTGACTGCATGTTTATTGAGCTGCTTCCAGCCTCAGCTTTATAACTGGATCTCTGTGACTTTGGGCATTTACACAACGAGGGTCTAAAAGTGTTTCTGGTCAACCAAGTTGGTAGTGGTTCCAGGTATATTGGAACGCCCCCACTTGGATGAGGTAACCTCAGGTTCCCCCATAAGAACTTCTTGAGGGGGAGGGGTGTGGTAAGCATTGCCCCCTTCAGGCTTGAGGTGGGGGCTGGGCCTCAGTTTCTGCAAAATGGGGGGAGTCAGATAATCCTACATCCTGTGCCTGGTACTCGGGGCTATTGTAAGAATAATTTTTTAAAAGCACTCAGAAGGTGGTATGGGGACAGTAGTCAGAGTCATCCTCTGGGCCAGGGCCCGCGCTGGCCCTCCTCACACCCACTCACCCCCGAGCCACCCCTTGTCTTAGGGCTCTTTTCACACTCCACAGCTGAGGACCCTGAGGCTCAGAGCGCGGCCGCCACCCTCACAGAGGGGCAGAGGGGTTATTTGAATCTGGGGCGACCTGATGCTTCTTGCCTCCACAGACTCTGAGAGCCAAGGTCCTGTGGGGGACCAGTGGGTGGGCACTCGGGGTCAGGCACGGGTAGAACAGCGTCCCCAGAGGATGTGCTAGCCCAGGGAGGAGACAGGGAAGAGGCTGATATCCTGTCCACCGCCCCCAGAACAGGCTGGGAATTGGGGGGAAGGAGGGAGCAGAGAGGCAGAGCCACAACGGGAATCCGGGCCGTGGTGTCCTGCGTGTTCTCAAGGCTGGGCTGTGACGCAGAGCGTGGCCCTGAGTGGAGAGCCTCGCCCAGGCTGCGGGGAGAGGTCAGGGCTACCCGCCTGCAGGCCGCAGCTCCCCAACCCAGCCTCGCTGCCCAAGGTCGCTGCTCAGCGGTGGAGGTGGGTGAAGCTGAGGAGGGAGGGTGGGCCAACGGGCAGCCACCCTTCTGGGTCCCATGGATAGGGGGTGCTGGCCAGGGCAGAGACTGAGGGAGGTAAGCCAGGATCCCCCTCCCTCCTCCCAGGGAGAGCCCACTAGCAGCCAGCAGCCAGGCCGGGGTGGCAGAGCGGCCTGTGGAAGGTCTATAGGGCTCATCTCCACGGGGCAAAGTCCCAAAGGACCCACGACCCTCCCCCCAGAAGGGGCCATCTGGCTGAGGCTAAGACACCCCACTTCACCAGGAGTCATGCTCCCTCCACCTCTCTTTCCCTTGCTCTGAGCCTCAGCTCTCTTCATGTGTGTGTGTGGGGGGGTGTTAGAAAGAGAGCCTTGCTCACCCCAGGACTGTTCAGAGTTCGAGAACAATGGGCCCTTAGAAAGAGCGGGGCCCTGGATGAGAGGAGGGGGGGCCGTCCCCCGCTCCCCCCCACTCCCACCACTCGCACGGGCATACGTGCACACGCACATGCACCCTGCCCTGTGGACTGTAAAAAAGACGAAGGTCAGGTGTGGGAAAGGGGGTTCTGCACACAGTGCTCAGCATGCGCGCGGGTGTGAGAGCATGTGCTGGAGGGGCAGGGTGGCTCGAGTACCTGCGAGAGGCCTCGATGCCAGGCTTCTGAGTTGACACTGAGCTGGGAGGAAGCTGGTGCAAACCTCAGGAGCTCACTCGGAACCACGGCCAGCTGTGACGATCTCAGCCCTCCGCATCCAGCCCCCAACACCCAGACTGCCGTGCGCAGGGTTCCCGCATCCAGCAGAGCTCTTCCCTGCCCAGGGCCCCTGGCCCCCTACCCCTACCTCGGACTGGGCGCATCTGGAGGAGAAGCTGGGAAGCCGGCAGTGGGATCAGGCAGGCGCATTCGAATCTGCGGTCTTCTTCCCAGCCGGGGCCAGCTGGGGTGGGGACAGTAAGAAGAGGCCACATGGCCACCTCTCCTGACGCAGGGAGGTCTGAGCACGTCTGGCTCCCTGAAGAGCAGATAGGGGAACCCTTTCTTCCACCTCTGCCCTGAGGCAGCCTTGACCTCGGGGACAAAGGGCAGAATGGGGCCTTGGGACATCAGGTGGACACTGGCTACTCCCCGATCAGTGCCACTCAATTTCTGTAGATCGATTGAGCTCCAAACCAAGCCAGGACTCATTCTTTCTTCTTCTCTCTGGGTGAAGCCCCAGCCTTCCTCAATCAAGGAGGTGCAAGGAGCATAGTTTTTCGAGTAGAGTTGGGTTCCAGTGCTAGACCCATATTTGCAGGCCAGTTGAACTTGGACGTGTCACCAAAGCCATCAGTCTCACAGGATCTTCTGAGGCATTGTGTAGGCCCCTGACAAGGATCAGTGTG